TCCTCCCGCGTGTCCTTTTGGGTTGCCATGGCCTGCCCAGTGCTCCTTCCCGTCCTTGGTGTGGTGGCGGCCGTTTACACGGCCAGCCTGGCCTTCGTTGGCACACCACAGCAGCAGCTTCGCACCAGCCGAGTGCCTTGCCGTGTGAGCGCTGAGTACTTGGAGCGCTGCGGGCCAAAGGACTCTGACGTGCCCTTTGATCCTGCTCAGGCCAGTGACCTGGAGCCGCAGTTGAGTTCAAGAAGCGACCTTTCGGTATCCTGCGCTGGGTGCCATGGCAATGGAGATCATCCCCAAGTCAAGATATCCTGATGACCCTCAGGGCCAGGCCTTTGCTTCCGGTGTGCAGAGTGGTTGGGTGGTGACCTCCATCAATGGCCAGAACGTGCAGAACGAGGATTTCGGCAAGATCATGGACTTGCTTGACGATGAAGTGGCAGACCCCCGCTTCTCCAAGTCAACTGCTTTGGCGTTGGAGAAGCAGGGAGGACGCCTTGCGGAGCCAGCAGCAGCACCATTGCAGGTCCAGTTCAACTCCATCCCAGGCTACGTTTACAAGGGTGCGCAACTGAAGGAGGATGGCCAGGATGGCTTCGCTCGCTGAGCTCTGAGGGGGCATATCACGAAAGCTAGCACCAGCTAGCTGGAGTTGTCCTTGCTTTAGCAAGTGAGGGGCTGGAATCCTCGAGATCGCCGCATCACGTGAAAACTTCATATGTAGAGGGCCCCCCCCCGGCGGGTTCAACTCCCCCTGGGACGCCTCTGGGACACCTCTTGGACACCTCTTATGGCATCCACTTTGGTTCAACTCCTCCGTGGAGGTTTTGGGATTTGATGCAACAGATTCAACAGATTCACAAGCTAAGGTTGGCTGTGTCATTGCTGTTCGTGTGTCTTACATGTTCACAACGTTTTTTTAGCTCATGAGCGAGACCTTGTGAACCATCCCTCCAACAGCCCCATGCCTATGAAAAACGAATTGCCTCACTCCGCTTGATGTCCCACCAGTCCTTTGTCACTGGACGGCGCTGTCTGCTTCGCCTTCACTGACACGGATACATCCCTGCTAGCTTTCGTCACCTACCCTCGGCCTCAAGTCCATTTTTCGTAGAGAATGGCAGAAGCTTCCACTTCAGCCAACCTTTCGACCACGCACGCAGCTTTCAATCACCACCTGCGCTGCGTGTAATGTCGGCCAAAATGATAAAAGTTTACCTAGCCATGAATGTGGAATGCCGTTGAAGGCAAATTGTCCAACAGCCGAACATTTTGTTGATTGGAGAGTTGTTTTTGAGGAGTGTAGCTTTTAGCACTTTCGTTGGACATTGCAACTTTGGAATTCATAGAGGCCCCGAAAGATAGAGATCTCGCTCCTTCCGCGTGTCCTTTTGGGTTGCCATGGCCCGCCCAGTGCTCCTTCCCG